AAATAACCAATGGATCAATGACCAAATAAAAACAGATCAAGCAATATATGGAGACAAAAATTCAATACCACAAAATCTGTGGGACACAGCGAAGGCTGTGCTAAGAGGAAAGTATATTGCAATACAGGTCTACCTCAGGAAAGAAGAACAATCCCATATGAGCAGTCTAAACTCACAATTAAAGAAACTAGAAAAAGAAGAACAAATCAGACCCAAAGTCAGTAGGAGAAGGGGCATAATAAAGACTAGAGCATAAATAAATAAAATCGAGAAGAATAAAACAATAAAAAGAATCAATGAAAGCAAGAACTGGTTCTTCAAGAAAATAAACAAAATAGATAACCCCCTAGCCAGACTTATCAAGAAAAAGAGAGTCTACCCATAAAAACAGAATCAGAAATGAGAAAGGAAAAATCACTACGGACACCACAGAAATACAAAGAATTATTAGAAAATACTATGAAAAATTATATGCTAACAAACTGGATAATCTAGGAGAAATGGACAACTTTCTGGAAAAATACAACCTTCCAAGGCTGACCCAGAAAGAAACAGAAAATCTGAACAGACCAATCACTAGCAATAAAACTGAACTGGTAATCAAAAACCTACCTAAGAACAAAATGCCTGGACCAGATTACTTCACCACTGAATTTTATCAAACATTCAGTGAAGACCTAATACCTATTCTCCTTAAAGTTTTCCAAAGAGTAGAAGAAGAGGGAATACTTCCAAACTCATTCCATGAGGCCAGCATCATTCTAATACCAAAACTAGGCAAAGACACCACAAAAAAAGAAAATTACAGACCAACATCCCTGATGAACATAGATGCAAAAATACTCAACAAAATTTTAGCAAACCGAATTCAAAGATACATCAAAAAGATTATCCATCATGATCAAGTAGGATTTATTCCAGGGATGCAAGGATGGAACAACATTAGAAAATCCATCAACATCATCCACCACATCAACAGAAAGAAGGACAAAAACTATATGATCATCTCCACAGATGCTGAAAAAGCATTTGACACAATTCAACATCCATTCATGATAAAAACTCTCAACAAAATGGGTATAGAGGGCAAGTACCTCAATATAATAAAGGCCATATATGACAAACCCACAGCCAACATTATACTTAACAGCGAGAAGCTGAGAGCTTTTCCTTTAAGATTGGGAACAAGACAAGATGCCCACTCTTCCCACTTCTATTTAACATAGTACTGGAGGTCCTAGCCATGGCAATCAGACAACACAAAGAAATAAAAGACATCCAGATTGGCAAGGAGAAGGTTAAACTGTCCCTGTGTGCAGATGACATGATATTGTACATAAAAAACCCTAAAGAATCTACTCCAAAACTACTAGATCTAATATCTGAATTCAGCAAAGTAGCAGGATACAAAATTAATGCGCAGAAATCTGTGGCATTCCTATACACTAACAATGAACTAGCAGAGAGAGAAATCAGGAAAACAATTCCATTCAGTTGCATCAAAAAGAATAAAATACCTAGTAATAAACCTAACCAAGGAAGTGAAAGATTTATACTCTGAAAACTACAAGACACTCATGAGAGAAATTAAAGAAGATACCAATAAATGGAAACTCATCTCGTGCTCATGGATAGGAAGAAGTAATATTGTCAAAATGGCCATCCTGTCTAAAGCAATCTGCAGATTCAATGCAATCCCTATCAAAATACCAACAGCATTCTTCAATGAACTAGAGAAAATTGTTCTAAAATTCATATGGAATCGCAAAAGACCCCGAATAGCCAAAGCAATCCTGAGAAGGAAGAATAAAGCAGGGGGATTATGCTCCCCAACTTCAAGCTCTACTACAAAGCCACAGTAATCAAGACAATGTGGTACTGGCACAAGAACAGACCCAGTGACCAATGGAACAGACTAGAGAGCCCTGATATAAACCCAAGCATATATGGTCAATTAATATATGATAAAGGAGCTATGTACATACAATGGGGAAATGACAGCCTCTTCAACATCTGGTGTTGGCAAAATTGGACAGCTACATGCAAGAGAATGGAACTGGACTATTGTTTAATCCCATACACTAAAGTAAACTCAAAATGGATCAAAGACCTGAAGGTAAGTCATGAAACCATAAAACTCTTAGAAGAAAACATAGGCAAAAATCTCCTGAATATAAGCATGAGCAACTTCTTCCTGAATGCATTTCCTTGAGCAAGGGAAACAAAAGCAAAAATGAACTCATGGGACTACATCAAACTAAAAAGTTTCTGTACAGCAAAGGACGCCATCAACAGAACAAAAAGGCATCATACAGTATGGGAGAATATATTTATAAATGCCATATTCGACAAGGGGTTAACATCCAAAATATATAAAGAACTTATACGCCTCAACACCCAAAAAGCAAATAACTCAATTAAAAAATGGGCTGAGGATACAAAGAGGCAATTCTCCAAAGAAGAAATTCAGATGGCCAACAGACACATGAAAAGATGCTCCACATCCACATCACTAATCATCAGGGAAATGCAAATAAAAACCACAATGAGAAATCACCTCACACCAGCATCAAAAAGGATGGCCAGCATTGAAAAGACTAAGAACAACAAATGCTGGTGAAGATGCGGAGAAAGGAGAACCCTCCTACACTGCTGGTGGGAATGTAAGCTAGTCAACCATTGTGGAAAGCAATATGGAGGTTCCTCAAAAAACTAAAAAAAGAAATACCATTTGACCCAGAAATCCCAGTCCTTGGAATTTACACAAAGAATACAACTTTTCATATTCAAAGACATATGCACCCCTATGTTTACTGCAGCACTTTTTACAATGGCTAAGATATGGAAGCAACCTAAGTGTCCATCAGTAGATGAATGGATAAAGAAGATATGGTACATATACACAATGGAATACTATTCAGCCATAAGAAAGAAACAAATCCTACCATTTGCAACAATATGGATGGAGCTGGAGGATATTATGCTCCATTTATGGAGTATAATAACAAAGCAAAACTGCAGGAACAAAATATCAGCAGACTCACAGACTCCAAGAAGGGACTAGCAATTACCAAAGGGGAGGGGTGGGGTAGATTGGGTGTGGAGGAAGGTAGAAGGGGATTGAGGGGTATTATGTTTAGTACACATCGTGTGGGGTCACAGGGAAAAGTGTAGCACAGAGAAGGCAAATAGTGAATCTGTGGCATCTTATTAGAGTGATGGACAGTGACTGTACTAGGGTATGGGTGGGGACTTGATAATATGGGTAAATGTAGTAACCACATTGTTTTTTCATGTGAAACCTTCATAAGAGTGTATATCAAAAATATCTTAATAAAAAAATTTAAAAAACAGCGTAATTGCTAAAAAATAAAAATAAAATAAATTTAAAAAAAGGAAGCTGGGGTGCAGATGAAACAAGATTACTGGCATTTTGTTTATAATTGCTGGTAAGAGGTACAAAGGGGAAGGCTCACCATACTCACCCACTTTGGTCTTTGCTCACTATTATCCTTAAGTTTTAAAAAAAAGGAATTGCAGAAGCAACAGTATCTTTTGGTTTCAGTTACAGTAGGAAGGTGAATGAAATGGTGAGGTTAAAAAACACAGAAAACACAACTGTGACCTGCATCCAAATGAGGAAGAAGGTGGCTAAAGAATAGAGGATATTATCTAAAGGATATAATGAGTTTGCTTACTAATGAGTTTGCTCTTCTCAGAACTGCCTGTAGTTGTAAATCACCTGTGATTATTAATGATTTTGATAACCTCAGTGTTCTCCATTGGCACAAATAATCTAGAACTACTTGTACATAAGAATAACCTCCTTTGTTAACTGTAGGGAGATGTAGGACTGAGCAAAGAATTCAAAGGAAGAGGTGAAGGAAGGAAATAAAGTAGCAAGGGACAAAAGCAGTAATATTAGCCAATGATATCTAAGGGCAGTAATTATAAGTTTAATAATAGAATAAAAATCATAAGGATACTTCCATCTAGAGGGGAAAAGGAGGAATACCTATATTTTAAAAAATCATTGTTTCTAGTTAAATTGAATATATATTAATTCTTGCTTCACTTGCACATAAAATTCAAAATTGATAAGGTCATAATCCCAAGAATATAAAAAATAATTTTGTGATATACTACCATTCTCTTCATCTCCCAAATCCTAGGCTTGCTGTACTAAAACACATTAGCTAGCTAGAGATAGATATTAGGCGTATCAGGAGAAATGAATGAGTGTTGGCCATAGAGTGGTAGTAAAAATTTTCTACCTAGAAATCTTAAAATACCCATAGCGTAAGGCAAGGAGGCTCAGCCCTGTTGTTCCCTTTTTTAGCTTGAGAAATACAATATAAATAAGTTACCACAAAAATGATTTTTTATCTGTATAGTCCTTTATATCATATGTATATGATATTCTACTATCCAACATTCTACTTACAACCTTCTAAAGTATGTCTAGTAGATCCCCAAAGAGGTAAGAAAGAGGTTATTAAAGAGGTAAAAAAAAAATTAACAGTTAGTTAAATGGTATAGCCAAGACTAGAGGCCCCAGACTTGACCTCTTAGTTCAGTGGTCTTTCTACCAGCAGGGATGAACTCAAAGGAGAATAGGGAACTCAAATTATTTATACACTGAAACTCAGCACAAGTCCAGATATAAATGAAGAAAGAATTAGACAAATTTCTGAGAGCAGTGGTGAGAGAGAAGTGATCTGAAACTCACAAATATTTATTAAATGCACATAAGAATACTAACTTTTCTTTTGATATGTACCTTTCTCTTTTAATATGGCATACTTTACCACTAGGCTCTGGGACTACTCAAAATAGTTACTTCTCATTTGTTAAACTGTTAAAAAAGCATGAAAGTTATTTAATTAGCTCTGTTATACAGATCCATCTCACCTCCCATTATTTGGAAGTCACTTGTTAATATAAGGCTTTGGAACACAGTTGTGACTTGTTTAACAGTTGTTTATCTTCATTGAACCTACCTGACTCTATGATTGTTTTGGGCTTCTCAGTCTCCATAGGGTCTGGATTTTCAGGCATTTCTTGAATATCATCTTCTGCAAATCCAGTATCTGGGCTGCTGGTTGGTTTATCATCATCTTCATGACTCAGAGATGGTGAAGCTTCTCTCTTACTTATCTCTAAAACTGCTGCTAGAAGCTCTTCTTCGCTTATCCCATCATATCCTGAGTTTTCCAATTCAGATTTATCAGGCTCTATTCTGCATGATTTTGATTCCTGGTACCAAGAGAGTTACTTTTAGAGGAAAGCAGAATGCCTACAAATATATCAATCTTAAGAGTTTTAAGTGAGGCGTTTATTTCTTAGAAGTTTCCTTTCTTTGATGCTTACGTTATTTAACATTCAATAACCAATATATAAACTCATCGGCAAGCCTAATTTTCTTTCAATAATAACTACGTAAATATATGTTTATTTTCTTGATTATAATAAGTGTGGAATATGCTCTTTGTAGAAATTTGGAAAAGACAAAACTAAACTTTAAAATTCACTCAAAATCCATCACTCAGATAATTACAGTAAGAATTTTTGGTATACTTTCTTCCATATATACATAATTATACTGTAAATATTCTGTCACTACATCTAATATTCCTTTTTAAATGCTGGCAGGTCTTGTTCATTTTTTTTAACAAACAAGAAAAATAAAAACTGCATCAGAATAATAACTACTATTTTCTGAATAACCTTCTCTCATTTCTGGGAGAATTTCTGAGCTGTCATTTTTCGTTCAAGATGAGCAACCTGACAAACCACTTCTAGTTTTAAAGGGTTTAAAGTAAGATGAAACAAGTCAGAACAAAAAATAAATACTAAAATAATCGTTATCTTACCAAAAGGGAGGTTTAAAAATCAGTCACATGATATGACAGAAACTCCTAGAAAAGCTTATATTTTCAAAGTATTAACTATCAGTATGTGTCAAGAGAGATGATATAGTTATGTCCTCACACCCATTATTTAAACCTTTGGATTACCTGGTTGGCCATGTTTACTCTGTTTTCCATATTAACAATTAGTACCAAAATAAAGCAAGTTATTATTTGAGTACAAATACGTTAAAGGAGCTTGGAAGGTTAACAGGAGAAAGCAATTTATCTACAACAACTTCCATTTCTTAGAAGTCTCAATCCTGGAAGCAACCTAAGTGCCCACTGGTGGATGAATGAACAAAGAAGATATGGTATACACACACATATATACCTATGGTGAAATACTATTTAGCCATAAAAAGAACGAAATCTTGCCATCTGCGACATGAAGGCATGCACCTTGTGGTTATTATGTTAAGTCAGTCAGATAGAGAAAGACATAGAATCTCACCTATATGTGGACAAAAAATAAATAAATAAAACCAAAAAACCAAGCTCATAGATACAAAGAAGAGATAGGTAGTTGCCAAAGGTTATGTGTTGGGGGTATGGGTGAAATGGTTGTAGGGGGGTCAAAAGGTACAAACTTTCAGTTATAAAATAAGTAAATCATGGGGATATAAATGTGTAGCACATTTACAGGTAATAAAACTGTATTTCATATTTGAAAGTTGCTAAGAGTAGCTCACCATAAGAAAAAAAAATTTTTTGTAACTATGTATGGTAATGTATGTTAACTAGACTTCTTGTGGTGATCATTTTGGAATATATAAAAATACAGATTCATATATTGTACAACTGAAACTAATATAATGTTAGGTGTCAATTATACCTCAAAAAACAAAGCAAAACCCGGTCTCAATCTACCTTTAAACAGACTGGTTTGTAGCTACACATAAAGTATACTATTTAAAACTAGTGTTTGACAAAACAAACAAAACAGCAATAGATTCAAAGACACTGAGAAGTGACTGGTGGTTACCATGGGGGAGGGGTTAGATGGGTGGTAGAGGGTGAGGGGGATAAAAGGGCACAGAAAATTCTCAATCACAATGTAAGTTGGTCACAGGCATGGTAGTATAGCATGGAGAACATACCCAATGATTCTGTAATATCTTCCTATGTTGACAGATAGTACTGCACTTGTGGGGGTAAAGATTTAATAGTATGTGTAACTGCTGAACTACTCTCTTGTATACTTGAAACCAATATACATTGTATATCAACTATACTTCAATAAAAAAGACATTAACCCCACCCCCCACAAAAAAAACTACTGTTTGAACATACCCATTAAGTTTATGATCTACTTTGTGTATTTATTTAGTTTGATGACGGGGCATTTGTTTGGACAGTAAGAAGTATATAAATCTTTGTCAGGTATTTTGATGAGAAATTACTTACTTTTTCCAAGTCTTCCTGCTGATGTTCACAGCCTGACATTTCACAAAGTCTCTGGCAAAGGGCCACAGAGCGTTTTAGCTCATCCTCACTGTCTGAATCAAGGCATAAAGCCAAGGAGCTCTTGGATTTGAAGGTGAAATTCCTGTAATTTAAGAAAAAAAAAAAAACCCTTATTTAGTCTCATAAACAACATTTGTCCTTGTTATTCTTTTGATGTAAGAATACCAATAAAACAAAAAGCTTTTCCATTATGGAAATGATTTAACAGAGGAAAAAAAAAAGATACAGCAAAAGAGATACCTTTGCCCTACTCCAAAAGAGCCATGCTTTAAAAATCAGACAACTCTTAAGCTAGTATATCATCAGTAAACCAATCACTTTGTGCCTTTTTTCTTTTAATGATCAACCCCAAAGATGTTTATTATCTTTATAAAGCAAAGTACTCTACTGAATGCATGCAGACATAGCAATGAATAAATGTTTTTGACAAGAGGGTACATGAAGACTAATTTTTGATCTTTTAAATTATGATCTATGTACTTTAAAATTAACAGTAACATTCCACTTATCCAACTATATATTAGTTCAGACTTCTGGTAACCTGTATCTTCCAGAACACAGGGATTTAAAAGTAAAAAGGCTTCTGAGGAAGCAGCAGTTTCAAAACCATGCACTTCACTTTTTAGACAGAGTCCCTTTCTTTTCCCAGGAAATGGTGTATAAAATAATGTAGCAAGTTCATCAAGAAATGAGAGCTAAGAAATGAGAGAGAATAGCCACAAAAAGGACCATAAAGAAATATAAAATCACTTAATATAAAGGTAAACTGTCTTGTAAGATGAGCCTCTGAGGGCTTTACTATATTAAAACAGTGTAATAACTGATGCTCATAATGCTGATTTTAAGTCATTATAATATTAAGTTATCTTCAGTGTATTTTATTTACAAATTTAAGGAATTCTATAGGGTTATAAAGAATATAACTACCTAAAATGGTTAAAAAATTTTGAAGATTAATACTTAAAAGGCAATCTTCAGTTATATAAAAATTCATCTCTGTGGAATATCAAATATCATTCTTCCATGATACCAGATAAGTAAGGTGTTACTGTGCTGTCTCCTAAGTGAGCTAAAGATAAACTAAAGGAAAAATGGTAAAGGTCAAAGAGCATGAATTTTCTTTGATGGAGGATAACATAAATTCATATGCTGTACTAAAAGAATATATAAAATGGAAATTGGAAAAATGCAATTAATCTAAATGTAAACATTGTAAATAAATATATAGAAAGATGGCACCAAGAAGTAAGAGGCCACAATGGAAACCAGAATTGCATAGCAATGTAGATCAAAGAAAAGAGGCAAGTGGTCAATGATAAGGCGAAACACAGCCTGTGGCTGAGAGCAGCCAGGTTATCACTGCACTCCAGCCTGAACACTTGAATAACCTTTACATGTTTAAAAGGGTTTTTCGTATAACTTAGAAATAGCCAATTAGCCATTTTAATTCTTCATTTCTGATTTCATGCTTACCAAGCAAAACCGAACATATAAATTTGTTTACCCATGCAAATAAATACTTTGCTGAAGGAGGGTGACACCTGGCTACTAATGTACCAGGGTCAAATGTGACAAATGACAAAAGACATTGTAGAAGAACCAAAGTTACTCTGATTCATAACTCAGCCTCTTTTAAGTTTGATCGGCATGACAAGTCTTCTAGGGCCTAATTATCCTTTGCAGACCAACTCTCAAATTCTTACACCAGTAGACCCTGGAGAACAGATGACCATGCCAATTATAATGATGCCCAATGAAACGATTTCTTTCTTGAAACTATAGTGATTTGGTACATAAAGAGTGCATTCCATTAATAGTTACTATATTTACAGAAGGCAGCTTGCCTGTAGTAATGAAAAATATTCATCCTGTAAATGCATCACTTGCTCACTTTCTAAGCAGCCAAGTGGTATTGCTCATTTGTATCTTGAGAACGGACAAGAGAATTCATATCGGTACCAATTCAGATTTCTAGTCATGTTAGTCATCTGGTTTTAATTGCACTGAAAAATAATTAACAGGAGGAAAAGAAAATAACAGTTCCCAAATGTCATTTTATGGTTGTATAAGCCCCCCCAAAAGCCCTTCAACAATAAAAGTGTCTCTTTTCTAAAAGTACCTTGGGACAACAAAGTTTTAGAAAAACTAATTTTAAAGACAAAATGACAAACAAGTCATTTAGAATTGTCTAATCAGGAACTGTTGTGCTTCTAGTTAAATCACAGAGGAGGTATATTTTTAAAAAGGCACTTGTTTTCCTTCTTGGACAAACTTTTGGTCTTAGGCAAAAAATACAAAACATTTGCAGAACAGCTACATTCCAGTGTATGTTTGTTTCCCTGCTTCCTTTCCAGAATTGCTCCAGTTCAATGTTTAAGACAAGAAGTCCCAGACCGGCTAGCAACAGGTAAAAAGGTATTTTGGGATCTCCATGTGTATCTTTGAGGAATGGTGCTTCAATCCTTAAAATCCCTCATCATCAATTTCTAAAGTCATAGGATAAAAATATTACATATTAATACATGACTTAAGCTTTAAAACAAATTTGAGAGGATCACCTGAACTTTCTTCACAATTAAAAAGGTGTCATACCCTAGATTATAGTTTAAGGCAGATTCAGGAAAATTCCAAAGTATAGTAATACAGAGCAGTTATCATGCAAAAAGAGAAAAAATAAAGAAAAGGGATGGGGATAATCTTGGAAATTAGGGTAAGCCAAATCCTTAAAAATACAAATCTTGGGTACACAAGGAACATAACTCACTTTGAAGGTGTAGAAGGGCTGGTGATGCAGGAATTCACCATTTGAGAGGCTTTCAATGGTCTAGAACTATCAGAAAATTAGAAGATATATAATGTATACAATTACAGTATTAAAAATATATAATTAACTTACAAAATGAATTATTATATACTATTGTCTTTTATATATCCTCTTAAAAAGCAAGCAATTTTAATACTCTTAGTAGCAATAGAGGCCAAAGGGAAAACAAAATACCACCTCTACGCTCTCCTGGATCCAATGATCTAAATAAACAGCATTGGAAACAAAGCAAATGTAATGCATATGAAAAGAACAACTTGGGAAAAATTATCTTAGTTCTTTACTTATAAGCAATAAAGTATTAATAGCTCTCATTTATTGAGGACTTATGAGATGTCAAGCACTGTAGTAAAAACTCACGTGTATTACCTCACTTAATGTTTACAACCACCCTATTGTTTTCCCTACAGATAAGTCAAGAAATTTGTCCCAAGGTTTAAAGTTATTAAATTGTAGAATCAGACAGCCTGGCTTCAGGCCTGTAATCATAAACAGTCGACACCAATGGTTTGACACAGTACTACTGACAAAAAGAGTAATAGTTCTACCAGTAGAGAGCAGTTTGCATCAAGCAAAACATCTATTCCAAAGAAAGTTCTAAGAGAAAACCAGAAACCCAAGACTTTCTGGGAACATGTCTGTATTAGTAGACCCATTGAGGCCTTTAGCATAAGCTTATAAATAAAGCATATATTCAAATTATTAATTCAAGGGGAAACATATTTTACAAAACTGCATCAATTCATGTTAGCAAATGTTCATTCATTTTCTGAAACGTCTACTACTCTAGCCAAGAGACTTGGCTCTTCCAGTTTCTAAAAAATTAATATTTTTGGACCACTTTGGATCTTCAATGTAAAATTAAGAATTTGGGCAAAATCTCTAAAATCCCTTTTACTTCTACAGTTCCAGAATTTTCTGGTTCTACCAAACTAGTGTTCAAGTATAAAAAAGAACTATATAATCCATGGCTCCAAAGTAGTAATTCAAGTACACAGAAGAAAGAGCAGCATTCAGAGAAGTCCTAAAGTTTTTCTGGCATACATGATGAAGTAAAATCAAGAAGTAAAGGTTATTTCTTTCCACATGGAAGAATTTCTAGAAGCCAATGAAGTTCTTCACTCATACTGGTGATAATACATTTATGAAGACATAACCAGTTTATTTATTGGTGATGTGAATACACAACCAATTTGGGGGGCCCCAGCTGAACATATAGTATATTATTTCTCAAATTTGCATATCCCAAAGAGTCAGCAAGGTATTTGTTAAAAATATTGATTCCCAAGCCCTATCTCAGATCTACTACAACAGAACTTCTAGGGAAAGAACACAGGAATTGGTATTTTTGTGTTTAGGTGACTCTTATGATTATGCAAATTAGGTTTATATTCCTAAAATGTACCAAACTGTCTTCCAGTGATCTAAGAATTAAGAGCACTCCCTAAAAAGGTAACTTACTATGAAAGGCAATTAATGTACTTGGAAGAATTTTGTTTAAGCATTTTATTCAGTTACTTTAATTAGGCAGTAATTTAACACAAAATCCCAAAATAAAGCAAAATAAAATCTCTTTCTTGGTCTGATTTTACCTGGGAGTCATGTTATCTAGTTCAGTCACTCTTTTGCTCAGATACTAAAGCCTAAAAGGAAGGTATAGAAATGCTCTCTCAAGAACTTACATTGCCATATGTGCACTCCAACCAAGGGTGAAGGGTGGTTTTGTATTTTCAGTGCAATGAGATGACAGGGTCAGGTATCTTGGAATGATGACTTGCTGCCCAATCTTGTTGTTAAGTGAGAGAGCAACATTGAAGCTGTATCGTTTCAAATGAAGAATGAGGATCCTGAAAAACAGGAGATAATTACATTGCTAGTTCATATATACTAGAGGTAGCTAGCTATCTTACAGGTGAAAAGCAATCACTGTAACTAACCACATTAGATAGCTTTTGATTTAAAGAATACATTTGACCAAACTAAAGATCCTTCAAAGAACATTACTGAATACCTGCCACGTGCTAGATACTAAGAATACAAATAAAGATAACATAGGCATTCAGTGGATTAATGATATTTGGGTAAAATATTTACAATGTTCCTAGAAAAAAAAATCCATCAAATAAACTACAACAGACAAGAACACTAAATTTTTAAATGCTGATATTGATACTTGGATAAATCCTTGTATTATTTACTTCAAAATTTACATTGTTTACAAAAAAAAATTAGGTGCTATACAACCACTAATGGTTATTTAATTAAAAGTTTTAAACAAGCCCTTTTATTTGATGGTGAATGTTAACTTTTCAAGGCGATTTTTGACAAAAATTTATTACTTCAGTAGCACTTGCTCTGAAGAAAGCTAATAAAGAAATAGAACAATTTTCTCCACTTAGAAAAAAGTTCTACAAAATTTACATGCCAAATCTGGTTTGTGGGTCTGAAAAGGTATTTAAGCTCTGTTGAAACACATCTTTTTAGTTACCATTGGTCACAACATTTTCACCTCTCACACAGAACATCATCTCCACCTGCTGGACTAAATATATTTCACAGCTCACAAGAACACTTAAAATACTGAATTTCAGAACTCTTATGGGTATAGACCTCCATTCTAGGCAGAAATAATGTATGATTATGGAAAACTATTTCCTTTCTTACTGTATATACCTTTATCACAGAAGCCACAAATTGAAAATTTTGTAAGCTGAAGTTATCAACTGTATTTCTCTTTAAAAAGCATGCAAGAGCCACAGATCAATGGAATACAATAGAGAGCCCAGATATAAACCCACACTATATGGCCAATTAATATATGATAAAGGAGCCATGGTTATACAATGGGGAAATGATAGTCTCTTCAACAACCAGTGTTGGCAAAACTGGACGGCTACATGTAAGAGAATGAAACTGTATTACTGTCTAACTCCATACACAAAAGTAAACTCAAAATGGATCAAAGACCTGAATGTAAGCCATGAAACCATAAAACTCTTAGAAGAAAACATAGGCAAAAATCTCTTGAATATAAATATGAGCAACTTTCTCCTGAACACATCTCCTCAGGCAAGGAAAACAAAAGCAAAAATGAACAAATGGGACTACATCAAAATAAAAAGGTTCTGAACAGCAAAGGACACCATCAGTAGAACAAAAAGACATCCTACAGTATGGAAGAATATACTAGTAAATGACTTATCTGATAAGGGGTTAACATCCAAAATATATAAAGAGTTCATACACCTAAACACCCAAAAAGCAAATAACTCAATTAAAACATGGGCAGAGGATCTGACAGACACTTCTCCAAAGAAGAAATTCATATAGCCAACAAACACATGAAAAGATGCTCCACATCTCTAATCATCAGTGAAATGCAAATTAAAACCACAATGAGATATGACCTCACACCAGTTAGGATGGCCAAGATCAAAATGACAAGGAACAACAAATGCTGGTGAGGATGTGGAGAAAGGGGAAGCCTCCTACACTGTTGGTGGGAATGTAAATTAGTTCAACCATTGTGGAAAGTAATATGGAAGTTCCTCAAAAAACTAAAAATAGAAATACTATTTGACCCAGGAATTTCACTCCTAGGAATTTACCCAAGGAAAACAAGATCCCAGATTCAAAAAGACATATGCACCCTTATGTTTATCACAGCACTATTTACAATAGCTAAGAAATGGAAGCAATCTAAGTGTCTATCAGCAGATGAATGGATAAAGAAGAGGTGGTACATATACACAATGGAGTATTAGAAAGAAAGCCATTAAGAAGAAAACAAATCCTACCATTTGTAACAACATTCATGAAGCTAGAGAGTATTATGGTCAGTGAATAAGCCAGGCAGAGAAAGACAAGTACCAAATGATTTCCTTCATTTGTGGAATATAACAACAAAGCTGAACTGAAGGAACAAACAGCAGCAGACTCACAGACTCCAAGAAGAGACTAGCAGTTACCAAAGGGAAGGAGTTAGGGAGGGTAGGTGGGGAGGGAGGGAGAAGGGGATTAAGGGGCAATATGATTAGCACACATAATGTAGGTGGGTCACCGGACAGACAGTATAGCACGGAGAAGACAAATAGTGACACTATAGCATCTTACTACACTTACTAATGTATAGTGACTACAATGGGGTGTCTGAGGGGGACTTGATAATATGGGTGAACGTCAGAACTACAATGTTGCTCATGTGAAACCATCATAAGATTGTATATCAATGATACCTTAATAAATAAAATAGAATGAAAAAAAAAGAGTAGATTGGCTTTAGTACTGAAATGAACAAAAGCAGAGTCAAGTCTAATAATTAGGATTTATGATACAATGGCTTCTATTTTACATGTTTGAAATAAGTTAACCTTTAATACAAGTGACATACCAGAAAAAAGAGAAAACCATGAAGAAAAATTCCCCTAGTATTTCTTTTCCATTTGAAAGATCAAATAGCTAGGCAATGGGAAAGGGAACAGAACACATTCAGCTTACCAGGTCAAACAAGTATTTTTAATTGTGTACTGGATTTCCTTAGTTAATGACAGTTGGTAATAACCAATCCTTTGCCTTCAAATTTGTTTTTCCTCAACCTCCTGCCTCAACACATTCACAAATAGGAAAGAATAAGTCTCTTAAATAAAAAATATGGACTATATGGTCAACATACTACCACTATGCAATGATTTAGAAAGTCATTTATTTAAAAGAAATTCATTTTGAGAAAGGAGTAGATTATGGAATGCAAAAAAACTATAGTCTCTAGGGGTTAGGTTCCAGAAACTCCACACTTATTCATAGAAAACTGAACCCAATAAAAGAAAGTAAGGCACTTTGCAGACAAAGTGCCATATAAATACTTAATGTTAAATAATAACCTTGTTTGTAGTTCAGATCTCTTCTTGGAAACAAATAACTAAAAGCTATTCTATAATCACATCGTATTTTTTCTAACTAGTTTCGTTTACATCTGTTTACACAGAGCCATTACTATAAATTAATTTTACTCCTAATTCAGAATTCTTATGATTACAGGAAACTTACTTATAAGATTCTTTGAATAAAGTAATGCAGAAAAAAAATCTGAATAAAATTGCAGTAATTTACTCTTCCTATTTTTTTCATATACACATGTGTATATGTGTCTGTAGGTTTTCACTGAAGGTTTTACTGAAGGTTTGGTTAAAAGAGGATAACTCAGGACAAATTATAACTGGATGGCACACATTACTCAATTAAGAATCTACCAGCTAATCCCTATCATTATTCCAAGTCTCACCAGCCACATCCTCTTGTCGCTATCTTCTTAGGACTCTCAAGTTCCTTCTCCTCTTCAACATTCCAAATCCCCTTCCTATCTTAGGCAAAAGCATTCTAGCTTTCCTTCTACCCTTTTCACATTTCAGCTTTGATGACCTTCCTTAACAATCCACTCTGGCTTATTCAGTAATATTTATAAGAACTTTAAGGAAGAAAAATTAAAGAGCAATTAATTTTACCTGGGTAGTCTGTTAAATTTGTGCCTGACAATAGCACACTTCCCACCACACTTCTCACAGGAATACTCAAGTTCTTCTGCCTGTAAAAAGACAAGAGGGAAGAATAAAGCAGCATGAAGTTAAATCAGCATTACCCCATTAAATGCTAATAATCTTCTTTAAGTCATAATAGTTCAGTGGAGTGACAACTCTGACCAGTTTAATATTTTGTGTTCAGAGCCATTAAGACTTACTAAATTAAGATCTAATCCTCAAAATGTATAGTATCATGCCCTATTTCAGAATTCCTAATTTTCTTCTTTACCAGGGAAACATCTCAATTTACAATAGTAACCAGATTTTACAGTAGCAGATTCTCAATCTTTTCCCATGGAAACATAAGAAGCACTGCCAAGAGTATATCCAGATTTCACATTTGGCCATAGCAGAGATAAGATCACCTTCAGGTTAGGCGGAGTTCTTGGTCTGTTAGGTGTAACTCTACCCCTTTCTTATAATGGAACTCAATCTTCTGGTGACAGCCCACTAAGAACAACTGCTCTAAAAAGACCAAAGTTTGGGGTGGATATCATTACCTAGAGAAAACTGAAACAAGAAATCCTTAAAAAATGGGGGTAAAGATACATAGAAAAGCTTCAAATTCTAATGATAATAACAGGAACGGTAAGGAACAATTAAAACAAAGAGAAAAACAGAGTATTTATCTTTGGAGCTGAATGTTCATTTGAAGTTTATATTTCTTTTTTGACCTTAGGAAGAAAAACATGCCCATTTGCTATAACAAAACAAGAACCACTATTAAATAGACAAAGGGTCATCCTGACAAATTTCTAAGTTATCATCAGTTATAAAGACTGCTACACAATAGGTCTAATTATGCCCCAGAAACTTTCTGAGTATCTTTAACAGTACTATCACAGACACAAATATTTATCTGCAGCATTGGATAAATGTTTGTTTCTAACTGGGTACATATAACCTAAGGAAAAGCAGAGACCAGTTTTTTATTCCTCAGATCTACTTAGTGTCTCCAATTTTAATTCACATTTTAGCATATGCTTCAAATTAACATTTATTTACAAATAACTGCTTCTAAGCTTGTCTAAAACACTTGCTATTTAAATGTATAGCAATTTAAGCATTTTCTTCTTCAATAGTTAACAATTAGACTTATCAAGCTTTTTAAAAAATTTTATTTACAAATATTTCATTTGTTTTCCTTGCATGTAATTTTGTCAAATCTCTGCCTTAAAGAAACCAACTTCAAATACTGTTATCTATGATATATAAAATGTAGTTACATGAAAACACCGAAACATATTAACTTACTCTAAAGAAAAGATCAAGGGAATCCTGAATTGAACGAGGAGGGAGTGGCTTTTTCCTTCGAGGAAGATCAATAGAGAGGTCATTAAATTGTTCTCTTTTGGGAATAATCTCTCCACATCTTTAAGAATAAAAGAAGACAAACACAAGCATTTGTAAGCCTAACTGTGTAACATGGACTATAAGTAGACAAAAAAAATACAACATTTAAGACTTCTCATGCTTACTTTAAGCCTTAATAAATCAGTACAAGAAAAAACACCCTCAATTTTAAGTGTTGAAGTATTTTCTTAAAATGCTAAATTTAAATTTTTTCTATTTTCAAAAACCCCAAAACTGAAAAAAACTGAAGTATATCATACATACAGAAAAGTAAACCACTCAAGTTAAACTTGATGAATTACCAGTTAACACATCCACGTAATCACCACTCAAATCAAGAAAACACTATGAACTCCCTAGAAGCCCCCTTCACATGCCCCTTCCCAATCACTATTCCTTTTTTTCTCCCAAAAGGTAACTATTATCCTGACACATTGAGTTTAGCCTGTTTTTGAACCTTATATAAATGAAACCATATAGTATGTTTTCTTTATAACTAACCCCTGTTGTTCAACATGATTTTAAGATTCAATCATGCTTGCCACAAAAGGCTGTAGCCCATTTTCACTGATGGTTAGTATTAATCTGCTTGAGCATTCTGTAATTTGTCCATATTACAACTAAAGGACATTTGGACTGTTTCCAGTTTTTGACTATATGAACAATGCTGCTTTGAAAATTCTGTGTTCTTGGTGAACACGTGTAGGCACTTCTGTTAGGCAGCAGAACTGTTTGGTCATTGATAGAATTCCAAAAATGGGCTTAGAGATCAAAACACTATATTCAATTTGCTTGGAAGCAAATTTATTTCTTTTAAATAGTTTTGGTTGACTTTTCCATTTTGTCTGCTTATCAACATTTTTAGTAATATTCAATTTTCTGCCCCAGTAGTTCTACTGCCACAGTTAAAAACTAGGCATCCTAAGATATATTCTTCATTCAACAAATATTTGAGTGCCTCTCTTATAGGCAGAATTCTAAGACAACCCTTACCCTTGTGTAATTTCACCCACTTTGAGTGTGGAAGAACTTCTATAAATGAGCCATCACTCCCATGATTGTTACTTTACATGCAAAACAATTTTGCAGATATAATATTACTAACACTTAATATTATCACAGATAATTTTAATATTATCTTAACACTGAGTTAATGAAAAAGATTTTTTGGGTGGGTCAGACCTAACCACATGAACTCTTTAAAATCTGTGTCATGAGTTCTCAAACAGAGGAAGACAGAGATTAGAAATCAGAGAGACATACGCTGTCCTGCAGGGAAGGAAAATGCACTGTTGTGAAACTGCCTATGGAGGCAAATGGAAAGAAACTATATGCAGCTTATAGGAAGTAAGTGGTCCCAGCCAACAGTCAGCAAGAAAACGGGACCCTCAGTATTACAAGTGTAAGGAACTAAATTCTGCCCACAACCTTAAAGAGTCTAAAAGGGGTTCATATGGAGGTGGTAAAAAGAAGTCAGGTTCTGGATGTATTCTGAAGGGAGACTGAAGAGGATCCACTGATGTAGGAGATGCAGCAGTAAAAGAGAAAGAAAAGAGTTAAGAAATACACCACATTTTTGGACTGACAAACTCTAAGAATGGAACTGTCATTACTGAGATAGGGAAGAACACAGATGATTTAACGGGGAACATTAAGTACTTAGTTTTAGATATTTTAAGTTCTTTGGAGAATTCATAAGAGTTCTTCATACTCAAGATTATTAGTATATTGAAATGCCTTTATAGTGATTAAAAATGAGCAAAAAGTTTTATATAAATGTAATATAAAAATTAAAACTATAATAGTTTTAAAAAAACAAGTATACTTGGCAAACTGGCTAAACTAACCTACAACTAGATGGGGTAGAGACTAAACATGGAAAATTATAATTCCAGGGATAAGGTGTATGGAATTTTCCTTCAGTAAGAAATTATTTCTGGTTTAAAGAAGATTTCTTTAACACTCTTGTACACTCCCAGACTTGTACACTCTTGGTCACTGTTCAGCCCAGCCACCCAGTGTACCTACATCCTGTGAGCCACATCACTTCATGGACTGGTGCATACACCTTAACTGCACACTCAGCATTTGTGTGCTGCACAACTGGACTGCCTAATGCTGTTGTCACAGTGCAGCAGCCACTTCTGTGATATGGCCTTTTTTCTTTCTATGCTTTCTGTGGCCATTTCTATCAGAGGCAACCTAAATATTCCACAATGTTAAAGACAAAATTAACAAAAAGTATCAATACCTAGATGTAAACTAGTAAAACTGTGAATTTCAAAAATAAAGATACCACAGATTTTCAGGAATAAAACATTATCCACAGAATTAATTTCTTCTCAATTGTCGCAGAGTAACAAAATATGATGGACAGTACATGTAATATGTTGAGGGAAAAGGCTCTGTCTGTCGACTCCAAGAAGGGACTAGAGGTTACCAAAGGGGAGGTAGGTAGGGGAGGGTGGGTGGGGAGGGAAAAGGGGATTGAAGGGTATTATGATTAGTACACATGGTGTGTGTGTGGGGGGGGTGGTCACGGGAAAGACAGTATAGCACAGTGAAGGCAAGCAGTGAGTCTGTGGAATCTTACTACACTGATCGACAGTGACTTCAATGGGATATGGGTGGGAGTTGATAATATGGGTGAATTAAGTAACCACAATGTTTTTCATGTGAAACCTTCATAAGAGTGTATATCAATGATACCTTAAAAAAAAACAACAGGCTCTGTGTGTCTCAATAATTCTACGTTAAGTAATGTGTGAAAGCCACATAAATAATTCTTCTTGTATAGGGGCTTGGAATATTTCCACTCTCTCTGAACAAAAAAATGTATTCACAGCTGTACCATTGATAATTAGAAGATTAATCAAAATAGAACCTTCTGATGTGAAGTACATGGTACAGAAGTTGTGATAATGGGATGTAAATTAATTAAATGTATAAAGTAAATCTGAGTAATTAATGTAAACATGGTTAAAAAGCATTGCAACAGTTAAGATTAATTCAATTTTTGATCTATTTTCTAAAAATCCCCATTTTTAATAAAAACAACTTGGTTCAAAAAAATAAGCAGCTATATAGAAGGGAATCTGTTCAGGGAAAATGAAAAGAAGAACAAGATTTCCCAAAGAGCTCAATATTCCACAGAGTGATTAAAAGAAAAAAATGTAGATTAAAATTAACTGTTTAGTCAGTACTAAAGCACATAACACAACATTCAAGTTCTCCTTAGTTTTCATTCCAAGCATTGTTATAGCAGATAAAGACATAGAAAAAAGGTATTTGGTAGAATTTATGTTTCCTTATGATATAGGAAAGGAAGATGAGCTAAGAATTAAAATCTTCTAGAAAAGTTTTAATCACTTGCCATAAAGAATTAAAAGTGAAGAGTTTTCTTAGAGACTACTTACGCTTTACAGATGATGGAGTGCTGAACCTCAAACTCCAAATTAGTAATTACAGGGCAAGTGTATACTCTGGTGGCTGAAATATCTGGTGAATTATCTTCTCCAGGAACAGGTTCAGTCTTCCAAGTTTTATTTAATTTTTCCATATCCTCTTTCAGCTGGTCTAAGCACTGACTTAAAAATTCATGAGCATCCTACAACGGCAAAATGTCCTTAATCAGATAAAAACATTTTTTGTGATAGTAATAGCTTGTTGACACTGTAATTTATAAAACTAAAGCACTTCAAAGTCAATACCATAAGTGATCTAACAATTTTGGGGTACATATTTTGTGAATAAAAACAGATGATGGGTTTTATATTCTTAACTACCAGTTGGATTAGCATGAATGAACATATGACACACTCCAGCCTTACTTTGTTGCTTTTTTTAAAGTAATTTTTCTAAAATAGCCTTTGTAGCTAAAAGAGCCTAAGTTCTGCACTGGCAAACAATATCTATATTATTAAAATACGATAAAACACACACACAAGAGGCATAATGAATCTTACCCTAAGTCCTTAGATTTTTTAACCTGTGATGAACATACACAAACCTCATTTTAAAACAAAAATCAGGAAATACTAAAATCATTTCAATTTTCCTTATCTCGGAAGTGTTTAAAAACAGTACTCACATTCTGCATATAACCAGAGAATCTCTCTGCTGTAGCTGAAATGGCATTTTTAACCTTCTTGAGTAAATCTTTTTTGGTCTCTGAATTACAGATATCTTTTTTAACAAGCAAGTGTGCAAAGCGTCTGATAAAACAAAAGAGACAAGTTTAGCATGTTTACAAAACACTAAATGGTGTGTTTTGAAGATTAACAATGCCACATAAACTTTTAAGTGTGTAAAAATCCACTATTCTATAATCAGTAAGGTAAAACGTTGTTCAGTAGGTAATAATTACCTGATAAGTGCATTAAGTGGAATTTTCTTCCATGGTATACCTTGCTTAAGCAAGTCATTTGCAAATGATTGAAGTGAAAAGAGAGACTGTAAAATAGCATTCATATAGCAGGTATTTCCCAAGTTGGAGAAGCTGAAAATAAAAAAAAAAGTACTCTTGAAGATAACAATAGTTTCTGAAGTATGTTCACTAGAACAAGAGTTCTCTACTATGGAGTGTGTGAGAATCACCTGGAGGGCTTGTTAAACATATTGCTGGGCCCCAATTCTAGACTTTTTGATTCACTAGGTTTGGACAGAGAGGGTGTAAAAACATGCATTTCTTACAGGATCCCAGTTGATGCTGCTGCTGCTGGTTTGAGGACCACACTTGGAGAACCACTGCATTGTAACACTAAAACAACTTAGTTTCAGCTCAAGGAAAATTATACATTTTCAAATGAATGCTAAAAGGCACTGGGGACTTATCCAAAAGCTATTTGATCTTGTTTATAATTCTAATTTTTTCACAGAGATACAATTTACTTATTTCTCTTAAGTATATGCCCAGAAGTAGAACCACTGGGTCATAAAATAATGTGTGTTAACCTTTAATGGGTATTGCCAAACATTTTTCCAAAGTACATATTTCAAAAACATTTTTTTTCTAGCTGCTTTTAAAAGTCTGTCCTTATCCTTGATCTCTGCCATTTTACTTATTTATTATATTTTTATTATAATAAAAACATACACTCTTATGAGGGTTTCACAAGAAAAACAATATGGTTATTACATTTCACTCTTATTATCAAGTCCCCCCATACCCCATTGCAGTCACTGTCCATCAGTGTAGCAAGATGCCAGAGTCCCTGTTTGTTTTCTCTGAGCTAGTCTTTCCCATGACCCCACACACATCATGTGCACCAATCATGATACCCCACAATCCCCTTCTCTCTCCCTCCCCACCTGCCCTCCCCTACCCCTCCCCTTTGGTAACCACTAGTCCCTTCTTGCATATTTTAAAAACTTTTATGTGGAAATATTCTCAAACTTTCAGAAAAGTAGCACAAGAATATACTTTATCCACATTTCACCAATCATTAACATTCTGCATTACATGCTTTATCATTTAAGGCCTCTCTCTCTATATATTTTTCCTGACTCATTTGAGAATAAGCTGCATACACCATACCCCTCTAGTCCTAAATACTTCAGGGTATATATTTCATAAGGATTACAACATCCTCTTATATAACCAGAGGATAGTTACCAGAATTATAAAATTGAATGCTGATATATTCTTTCTAATATACTTTCTTTAATCCAACTTTGTCAACTGATCCAATAGTGTTCTTTAATAGCATTTTTTCTTAAGTTTAAGATTCAGTCTAGGATAACAATGCATTTAGTTTTCATGTCTCTTTAGTTCTCCTTAATCTGAAATAATTCTTCAGCTTTCTCTTTCATACTGACACGTGTGAAGAATACAGTCGACCTCCCTCATAATGGCTTTGCTATTTCCTCATGAGCTTCAGCCAAGGCTGGAAGAGCACACAGTGACACACAGTGATACTGTGTACGTCCAAGGGCATCGCATCCAGAGGCACATGCTACTTTTTTACTGCACCCTGGAGAATTTCCAGTTCAGACTATAAGAAAGCGTCAGGGTCTGAAATTATCCTAACACCATAAACAATGAAAAAAACTGACAAAATTGGACCACAGGCAGTGCATGACTGTGATCCTTAAGAGAAGGGAAAAAAATAGGTGAACCCTACTATTATGCAGGGTTTTTGTCTAGAGGCAATTTGTGAACTGCAGTCCAGGAAGGGGTACCCAAAGAGAGCCCGGAAATCTTGCTGACTTAAGTTGAAAGAAATTGGAGTTTGAGAGGCTGAGGTTGTTAAGATTTCTGGGAAAGACTACTGTGAAGAGGGAGCTATGCAAAGGAACAGCTCCAGAAATCTGTACAGGAGCGCTGCCTGAGGTATTCAGCTGAATATCAACCTGTGTGTGCTTAGGGTATAACGCCATGACACCAGGCATAAAGAACTTCAAGGAAAAGAATGATTACTGGGGAAGTATTAACTGAATAACTCCCAGAGCTCATGCAGGATCTAAAATTGTTTGAATCCCCACCATTCAAAGTGCAGACACCTAGATAAATTCATGGGTCATTACATTAGTAGATCCCAGAGGGGCAATGCTTTAGGAAGGGAATTAAGTTACCTTTGGTATAAGGCCACTCTAGATTTGACCCCAAAGACCTTAACCAAGTCTCAAAACAACCAAATCCAACTGCAGACAAAGATTATTAAAACAGCTATTACAAATATGCTTGCTTCGTGTGATCAAAGATAACCATAAACGTGAGGAAAGAAATGGAAGTATTAAAAAAAAACAAATAAACTTGTAGAGAGGAAAAACAGTATTTGAAATGAAAAGTTCACTGAATGAGTTTAGACACTAAAAGAAGTTTGAGCTTAAAGACACAGCAATGTAAAATATCACAAAAAGATCTATGTGTTTTATAAAATTTAAAATAAAATTTTATAAAATCAAATAATTTTGTTTTAAATATTTTACATATATATAAAAGCAAATAATGTTTTATTTCCCTTTCTTTTTTACAAAAAAGGTAGCATACTATATATATACACTCTTAAGCAATTTGTCTTTACTTACCAAGACATCCTTTTTTTTTTTTTTTTTGATTACAGCCATCCTAGGGGGTGTGATACCTCTCTTTGGTTTTGACTTTATATACTTAATACTTTTCTACAGTTTCTTTTTCATAGCAGCACAATTCTCCACTGTTTCTAGGTAGGTATTTGTCCATTTCATCTACATACTTAATTTGCTGGCATACCACTAGTCAAGTATTCTTTTAATCCTTTTTATTTTGGTAAGGTTGGTAGTAATGTACTCACTTTCGTTAACTGATTTTAGTTGAGTCTCCCCTCTTTTTCTGTCAGCTTAGCTAAGGATTTGTCAATTTTGTTCATCTCAAAGAATCAATTTTTGGTTTCAATGATTTTCTCTATTATTCTTTTTCTGTTTTTTAAATTAAGGTATTATTGATATACACTCTTATGAAGGTTTCACATGAGCAACATTGTGGTTACTACATTCATCCATATTATCAAGTCCCCCCTACACCCCATTGCAGTCACTGTCCATCAGTGTAGTAAGATGCCACAGAGTCACTATTTGCCTTCTCTGTGCTATACTGTCTTCCCCGTGATCCCCCACACACCATATGTGCCAATCATAATACCCCTCAATCCCCTTCTCCCTCCCTCCACACCCAATCTACCCCAACCCTCCCCTTTGGTAACTGCTAGTCCCTTCTTGGAGTCTGTGAGTCTGCTGCTGTTTTGTTCCTTCAGTTTTGCTTTGTTGTTATATTCCACAAATGAGGGAAATCATTTGGTACTTGTCTGCTTGGTTTATTTCACTGAGCATAATATCCTCTAGCTCCATCCATGTTGTTGCAAATGGTAGGATTTGTTTCTTTCTTATGGCTGAATAGTATTCCATTGTGTATATGTACCACATCTTTATCCATTCATCTACTGATGGACACTTTGGCTGCTTCCATATCTTGACTATTGTAAATAGTGCTGCGATAAACATAGGGATGCATGTCTTTTTGAATCTGAGAACTTGTATTCTTTGTGTAAATTCCAAGGAGTGGGATTCCAGGGTCAAATGGTATTTCTATTTTTAGTTTTTTGAGGAACCTCCATATTGCTTTCCACAATGGTTGAACTAGCTTACATTCCCACCAACAGTGTAGGAGGGTTCCCCTTTCTTTGCATCCTCACCAGCATTTGTTGTTCTTAGTCTTTTCCATGTTGGCCATCCTAACTGGTGTGAGGTGATATTTCATTGTGGTTTGTATTTGTATTTCCCTGATAATTAGTGATGTGGAGCATCTTTTCATGTGCCTGTTAACCATGTGAATTTCTTCTTTGAAGAACTGTCTGTTCATATCCTCCACCCATTTTTTAATTGAGTTATTTGCTTTTTGGGTGTTGAGGCGTGTTGAGTTCTTTATATATTTTGGATATTAACCCCTTGTTGGATATCATTTACAAATATATTCTCTATTGTTTTTCTATTCTCTTATATTTGCTCTAATCTTTGTTACTATTTTCCTTTTGCTAATTTTGGATTCAGCTTGATCTTCTTTTTATAGTTCCTTAAGGTGTAAAGTTAGGTTATTGATTTGAGGTCATAAAAAAATTTGATAAAATACACATAACAAAATCTTCCATTTAATCATTTTTAAGTATACAGTTTAAAACAATATTCACAGTGTGGTACAACTATCACCACCATCTATCCCCAGAATTTTCTTTATCTTCCCAAGAAGAGAGGAGGAGGAGGAAGAAATCGTAAAGTAGTACAAGAACAACAAGAAAAAAAGTCCCCCAGTCTTTGCATATTGGCTTTGTGCTGGGATTCTTTGAGTGGTTCTCTGGGCTATTTATAACTGCCTTCGTCTTCACTACCTGCTTGCACTGAGCTGTTGATTAGCCAGAAGTGAAAGCTTGAGGTTTTCTTAAGTCTTTTCTGAGCATGAGCCCTGAGCATGTGCATGTTTTTCAAGATTACCAAATACATAGAGGGGTTCTTGTATTTCTTATCACTTTTAAATTGCCTTTTTCTTATTTCAGTATTTGCTGTACACCTTTGTTTTCCAGAGTTCAGACAATGTTGACTCTGACAGTTTTGCTTGGTTTTTCAATGTTTCTGTGAAAGGATAGGCCCTTACAGTCTTGCCATTTTATTGATGTCTTCTTCCCTTTGCAATGTAAGAAATTCTTTTTAATCTAGAGATATCAGTACCTTAATATGTTGCAAATATCTGCTTCCAATTTGTCTCTGTTTTTGGTTATGAAAAATCCAATCTTTATGCAGGCAAACTTATCAATGTATCCTTTTATGCATCTTGATTTTGAGTCAGAGTCACAAAACCTTTCCCTATATCATGGCTATTTGTTCCTGTATTTTTAGAGTTTCATGTTTTAAATTTAGCACCTGATTAATGTGGAATTGATTCTTGCATACAGTTGAGGGATAAGTTCAGGCACACCTTGGAGATACGGGCTCAGTTCCAGACTACCACAATAAACTGAGTATCACAGT